TCTCCTGCCTCAGCCTCCCAAGTAGCTGGGACCACAGGCACCCGCCACAACACCCAGCTATTTTTTGGTTTCAACCATCATTGTTGTTTGGTAGGCCCAGGCTGGATTTGAACCCGCCACCTTGGGTGTACGTGGCTGGTGCCTTAGCCACTTGAGCCACAGGTGCTGAGCCTCATGTGTTTTTCTTGATGTGTTTGTTTTTGAGACAGGGTCTTGCTGTTGCTTGGGCATCTTGAGTGTAGTGGTGGCATCATGGTTCATTGCAGCCTCAAACTCCTGGGTTCAAGTGATCCTCCTGCCTCAGCCTTCTTAATTGCTGGGACTGCAGGTGCACACCACCATATCTGGATAGTTTTTCTTTTCTTTTCTTTTCTTTTTTTGGTAGAAAAGGGAATCTCACTATGTTGCTCAGGCTGGTCTTGAACTCCTAACTTCAAGTTATCCTCTCCCTCATAAACTATATATTTCTATGTTCTTTTTGCCAATCTGCATTCCAGATAGTTTCCCAAAAGGTCTCGTCTCTCCATCCTCTGACCCCCTGCCAGGAAAGAGGTCTCTGGGAGTAGAGGGGCTGGCACCCTGTAGCGAGTACTCCTGTCTGTGTCAAGGGGACAACCTCCACTCTGCTCAAGCTGATGAAAGCCCTTGGCGTCAAAGACCCTTTGCAGCCAAATCTTCCCATTGCTCCTGAGAAGCCAGAATTCTCTATTTTTAGTTCATCTCTTCTAGTTTGAAATGTCAGCTACTACTATAAAAACACTGAAAACAAAGCATGTCTGTGGATTGCTTGGGATTCAAAGGCTGTTTGCGACCTGGGGAGGGCAGGCCCACATGATATGATGTGTCATTCATCAAACTCCACCCAGTCCCCTGGTGGGGAGAGGGTCTAGGTGGGCTGGGGATGCCATCAGCAGGGCAGCTTGTTGACTTCCCCTACAGGCTGCACCTCCAGCGGCTGGTGAGCAGTGAGACCCAGAGGCACCAGCTGGTGAGGACACTGCAGGCCCTCGTGGAGGAGGCGTTCGGGAGCCAGCTGCAGGACAGAGACATCCTCGACCCAGCCTATATGGAGAGGGTCCTCCTGCTAAGACAGGTGTGGGGCTGGGCTGGGAGATGGACAGGATGAGTGGGCACCTTCGTTCCTCCTCCCCTCCTCCCTCCTGTGTGCTCAAGAGGCTGTTTCCAGGGCATTCAGTGACTGCCTCCTTACTTTCCCCAGGGCCACATTTGCCGCCTGCAGGATTTAGTCTCTCCAGCATACTCCTACCTGTGGACTCGCCCTGCTGTGGATCGAGCACAGCTGAGCGCCATCTCAGAGAATGTGGATGTGATTGCCAAGCGCATGCTGGGGTGAGTGGCCACTGGTCTAGCTCAAAGTTCCATGCCCTCCTTCCTTGGCTCCCTCGGGCCTCCAGCACATCCCATGGCTAGTGAAGAAATGGTCACTCCCTGGCTTTGTTGGGTAATAAAGGCTTACCAGAGGATCCAGGTCTTCCTGGACACATGCAGTGTGTTCAGTTCTTACACCAACCTGGGCTGCATCCCAACTCTGCCATTTAATTCACCAAGTTCTGTCACTCTGGCCAATTTATTATACCTCTTTGAGCTTCCATTTCTTCATCTATAACACAGATGATATAAGTTCTTGATGTAACAACTTTTTTTGATTACAAGGGCGGAGAATGCAACCCAAGCTGGCTTAAGCAAGAGGGTAATGATTGGTTGCATAAATTTAGAGTCTAGAAGAAGGGCTGCCTTGAGGCACAGCCTCAAGCAGCAGCCGGTACTATGTTACCAAGACCTGCTTCCATCTCTGTGTTTTTGACTTTCTACCCACCACTTCTCCATGCTGGCCATTCTTTCTTGCAGAGAGCACTAGGGAGACAGAAGTAGTGATGATGCCTGGTGCCAGTTTCACGTGGATGTACATTCTTTCTAGTGCAGTAGCTTTTGGCCAGCTCAGAGGGGTCCTGCATCCCTAGCTTTTGCTCTTTTCTGTGTGGTCCATGCTGCAGTTCATCCATAGGAGGAAGGAGGTAAAGGGGCAGGGGGTCATCCATTCTTTCCCTGTAGGGACCTTTCTTAAAAGCTGTACATACATTTCTACCCATATCCTACTGGTTAGAACCAAGTCTTTTGGCCACATCAAGCTGCAAGTGCAGCTAGAACATGTAGTTTTTTAACTTAGTAGCCATTTGCCCAATTAAAAATATTATTAATTGGCTCGGCGCCTATAGCTCAACCGGCTAAGGCGCCAGCCACGTACACCTAAGGTGGTGGGTTC